CTTTCTTTCACGTCAGCAAGCGCAACGAAGATTCATTCAACATCAAGATCGCCGAGTACCAGTACGCGTTCCCCAGACAAGCCGCCTCCTGGCTGGGGCAGGCCAAACAATTGGCGGGGGTAATACTGTCTTGTTGGTGTGGCCGGCGCATATCTGAGGTACTTTCCTTCCCTAACCATGACCAAACACCTGCCTCTCACCACCAAGCCCTTGGCGACATATAGCTGACTCACCGTCCAGAAAAGACAAGCCCATCGTTTGGGCCCAGGAGGGGCCCCTCAACGCCGGCCCTTGGAGGGGTCCCTCCGCTGGCCCCTGGTCCTACACTCAGCCCCGTCTTGAGACCCTCCTTTCCGCTGGTGTGACCGGGGGCCGGCGCATTGCCGTGCTGTGGTGGCCGGGGTATTGTCTTGTTGTTGGGGCCGGCGCATTATCGTGCTGTGGTGGCCGGGGTATTGTCTTGTTGTGGTGGCCGGGGTATTGTCTTGTTGTTGGGGCCGGCGCATTATCGTGCTGTGGTGGCCGGGGTATTGTCTTGTTGTGGTGGTCGGCGCATTGTCGTGTTGGTGTGGCCGGCGCATCGCCGGGAGAAGGTGTGTACTTGTACTGTAGTCTTTCTCTTTCTCTTTCTCTTTCTCTTTCTCTTTCTCTTCCTGTGGAAGGGAGTGCCGGTGAATGGGAAGTCCAGTGAATGGATGGCAAAGGCACCTCAAGTAAGGTATATAGAAAATCTGTTACCATTCACTTTTCATTCACCATGATCATTGTGTTCATTGTTGCGATGTCGACCACTTGACAGCATGTGAGGATGAGCTTCCCTTCCATTCATTCACCACCACATCACGTTCGGACTCAGAAAAAACCACCTCCACAACTTGAATGAAACCAAGTGGGACACTCAGGCAACTCTCCGCGATTATGCCCACAGCAAGGATATCATTGCCAACACCAAACATGACGCTGTTGTGGCCTTCGACTTACATCCAAGGCGCTCGACAAGACGTCATCAGCACTTTCAACACCACAGATACCGCGAAGATTCAGTGGCAAAAGTGCCCAGTCCAAACGCAACACGTTCAAGTGGATCACTTCTTGTAGGTCACTTCCGGCTGGCATGACACTCGAAGGCACTTGCACGATGAGATCACTCTTGAGCATGAGATTCTGATCGATGAGATCTTCCATCACGAGGCCCGATCTCTTCTCCCGAGGAATCTATCACGGAGTGGCAGTCACGGGTGCTTCAAACCTGGAAGTCTCACGCCTGCTTCAAGCGAACTTCCAACTCCGATGATCCAGTCTGCCGGCTCCATGACTCAACCTCAGTGAATCACAGGGGCACCACTTCCCGGCCTTGAGCCACTTCCTTCTATGAGAGATTTTCCCACCGGGAGCTTGAGTGTCCGACTGGTTCAAATTGGGGACAGTCATGCCCTCAAAGAAACTAGGAAAGAACTCTTGACCCTGGTTCCAGTCTCTTCCATTCGTGACGGTCACCGGCTACTGCAAGACGAACACATCTTTGGCTACCTCTAGCGGCAGCACGCAATCTCTTTCATGCGGCAGTCACGAGAATGGAAAAAGGTTGGACTCAGTGGAACGCGAAGTTTCCGCGGCGGAACAAGCCGGCTGTCCACGGCTCATTGAGGGCAATGACTGATGAAGGAGTATTTGAGGGCAGGGATTCCTTCTTCTTTGAAGTTTACCGGGTAGGAAGTATTGAGACACCGCGAGGATCGACAAGTGTCTGGCCCCAAGCGTGATAGAAAACCTCGAACATTCTTGCAGCTCTATGCGTGCCTTCCCTTCTGAGAGACTGCAATAAGTGATGTGCAGGAGCAAATCTTGCGAGATTGCGGCCAGTTACTCCAAGTCCCATCATCGACGACTGGATCGTGGGAGAAATTCCAAGTGTTCGGCAGTCACTCCTGATGACAAAAAAAGAAGAAGAAAAAAGAAAAAACAGCAAGACTTCTCGGGGTGGTAGTCGCCCTTGGACCAACTGGATGCTGCTCGATTTTTTGACTTGTCTAGATGTACCTAGTACACGACGGAGACTCGTGGTCTCCTCTCCTGGCTGGGATCCTGTGGTGCCGGACATCGACGGTACCTGCAGCACGAGTCACTGAAATGCTACAAGCGGTATGCAAATTCTCTCAGAAGACCGGAAGAAAGAAATAGCTCTGAATGCTGCCTGCCATTCTAAGCAACTGGTTGCCTCTGGACCGTAGGCACCTTGAGGGCTATTCCCCTGGCAGTGGCTCACCCACTCTCACGATCCGTAGCCTGCTCCTTGAGACGTGCCTTCCCGAGGGAAGCGGAGCAGAACTCGCGAAAATTGTGGTCAGATCAGCATCAGTGCATCATCGAAGAGCGGAAGTCTGAATCTTCAGCAGTCGCGCCTGAAGACTGGACCATGGGACAACGGGACTCATTGCTGTGGTGCCTACTGCTACATGTAGACCAGCCGAGAAATCTTGCCCTGTGGGCACTGCCCGGTCTTTTCACTTTATGCGCGGTGGAAATTCATGGTTTCCTCCTCTGGCGTCCGAACAGGCTAGAACCTTGACAACTGCGGCGGCATGGATCAGGGGCACCCAGTTACCAGACTCGTACGGGACACTTCCGAAATGAAAGGCAAGAGCTCTGGAAGACTTGTCGCTCTATTATTCAAGTTAGCCAGAATCTTGCGGGTCACCGCATGTACCAGCCCTCCCCCTCGTCCGGAACCTGTTTCAATCTCTAGGGGGCGTGCCTTCCATTGTTAAAGGACGCGAGGCAGGACTTCCAGGCTGCGAGATTGGTCCAGGGCCATAGAGTACCTACCATGGGCAGTCATGGGTACCGTAGGTCTAGACTCTGGTACCTCTGGTTCCCGCTGCTTAACTGCAGGCGCGCGTTTTAGGAACGCGACTTCCGTCCCGTCTCGGGAGATGTCCCAATGGACGGCCCACTGTCTCTACCTCTTTATTACCTCTATCCAACGCAAACTTCTTCCTCCATTGCTCGCGAACTTCTCCCTTGATTGCAAAGAAATTCTGAACATTGACCAAACCACTTGATGAGTTCCTTCAACCCCCATCTTCATCTCACATCCTCGTTGAGCTCGTTCGTATTCCGATTCATCCTTCATCAACCACCTTCTCGACGTCTACCTCTCTATTGATATCGTCTTCTCGACCAGAGGTTTTGTACCTTTGCAAACCTCCTCGTCACGGAGTACAACGCTTCCTCGTTGTCTGTGGATTGGTCTGCCAGCGGTCCACATTAGCTCTCTACCTCTACCTCTAGCTTGCGGTTTCTAACGTCGGGAATGCCACAGGTAGACTCAACATGACACGATCAAGAGACCTATCAGGACGACTGCACCATGGTTTGCCCGTGGATTGGTAAGTGCCGACGGGACTTTCTTCTGGTCGGCAGCGGCCTTGTCTTCCTTGTGTTGTCCCTTGTCCTTGGCTCAGGTTGTCAGGGGATGGTAATATACCTCTCTTGAGAATAAGGGAGACATTGGCAGTCTGGCACCAATGCATCAGCCCGTGAACCACCCCCTTCTCCAGACACGCACACACACACGCGCACGCACAACGTCGAAGAAAGCTCAGCTCACTAACACTTCCATCAATCTAGTGACGAATATCCCAGCACCCCATACAAATCTCTCGGCCAGACCCTCAAGAAGAGAAGCTGCAGAGATCCATACGACTGTTAGAGAACAAGATGTTGGAGAACCAGGGGAAGGCTAAGAATAAGAAAGAAGAGGATGAGGAGGCCAAGGCCGCCCAGGCCAGTAGCAGCAAAGATGCCCCCAAGATTACTGCGGGAACGTGCATGGATGGACGATATGGGTGTGGACTGAGGGCGTTCAAAGAGATGCAGGAACACGCCGAGATGCTGCAGAACGAGACGAAACGTGGTTTTGGCCGTTGTGTCAGGAGTGGGAAGCTGTAGTGTAGAGGTACGTCTTTGGCACTTGTTACCTCTTTTCTTTCTCACGAGTTCGGGAAGGGTGAAGGCCTCCTTGACTTTCGCGGAGAGCTTCCTGACCGCGGAAAACGGAATCGAGTTCCATGCGTACAAGTACGATGAGGCTCAGGGATGGTTCAAGGAGATGCCCAACTACAGGCCGCAGCGAAGAAAGTACCGAGAGGGATCAGGACTAGAGGATTTCTTCCGAGAAGAGTGGTGAGACTAGGGTTAGAAAACCAGCGATGGTTGGAGCTATCGTCATGACTTGCTTCATTGGCACAATGTAGATGCGATCCACGCATGGCTACCCTGTATATAGTCGGACTTTGTCCTCTTCTCTCGTTCTCTTCTTTTCTTTTCCTCTTCAATAGAACCAAGTCATTGACTACCGCTTCCTTTGTCTCCTGTGCTCACCTCTTCCATTTAGTTTAGCTACAACTGAGTGAATCAAAGACCAAAGCAAGTGTTGTCCTGTCCTTTGGAATCTGGTGTCTTGAAGTGCTCCCTGGACAAAGTCGGCAAAGAAGGCAGTGTTGACTGGCAAGGGAAAACGAGTGTGAATAACCGATTGCACTTGGTCGAATCAAAGTCTCTCGGCTCCAGTCGGTCGCTCCCTTCTCTTCTGTTCACGGCCCTCTTTGGCCGGTGCATGTTGTGTTCTGGAATGTCTTCCTCTTGGAACGATTTATCCATGTGAACCTCCATACGGGTATCGGGCACAACGAATATATCCAGCCAGACCCCGGGAACATCTAGGCCGCTATCTAAGGTACACAATAGAGGGATGCATTCACCACGACCACATTGAACTGCCTCCATGCCGGTCTTCCACTCGTCATTTCCAACGCTTCATGTGTTTTGTGATTTGTCCGGGTAAATCAGGGGCTGGATCTGCCAACCAAAACATTCCAGCCTGATGTCAGCTCGAGCAAGAAAGGACACGGAAAGGAAGGAAAGTTCGTATGGAAGTAAAGGATGCAAAAGGATGATGTTGTTCCCAAAGGGACGGAGGGGAACATTGTCGGGAATTGAGCCCGACGTGGGGGTCTGGTTGGGTTCAATGAACATAACCCACAACAATGGAACCTTGAGATTAAGAGTCTCACGCTCGCTCTACCGATTGAGCTATGTACCTAGCCGGGCAGCTATTGAACGAAGCAAGCTGCCGTTGAATTTTGAACTTGAAGGGATGGCCTGGGGGGTTTGGGTTAAAAAAAAAGAAGTCTGGTGCGTACATGTACCTAGGTGAATTTGTGTGGTGGCTGGCGATGGTGAAGGGTTTTGCTGTTGTGGACTTGTGGATGTTTGGTGGAAGATTGATGCCGGGCGGTCCCATGTTGGGGTGGTGGATCGGGCGGGTTAGGGTCTGATGAAGGAACGGAGGGAGGCATGAGGATGACACTCGACGATGGGAGGAGAATGATGCGTGATGTTGGAGTATAATGTTGGTAGAGGACATGGTTTTAGGCATGAGGGTTTCGTGATTTGTTGTCTTTAAGTTTCGTGTGCTATTCGTTATTGGAAACAACATGTACATGTATCCAGAGTCGTTTCTTCATCCAGATCCTCCATCCTTTATGCCACAAGTCGTCTTTTGTCCAAGCCTTCTGCCGGCCCTCTTCATGAAGCTTCCATTCCTTTCCTCATAGGTATGTAAAGCCAGCCGTATTAGATCCAGTATGTCCTCCATCCTCCATCCTCCATTCTCCAGTCCCTTATCTGACTGTGTCTCTCCACAACACACGGATCTAGCTCGCTCTAAGCGCAAAGCTCAAGCACAACATTCCCCTTGCTACCGCAAACCTTCGTCTGGCTTCCCGCCGGCTGCGTTCCCTGCGCCCACTCAATAGCCCCACAGCTTCCCGTCCCCTTGCCCTCCAGACGGACCTTGTGACCCTTGAACGCGTGGCCAAAGACACTGGACAGATCATACCAGATGTTGACTCCATCAAGCGAGTACGCGAAGATGAGTTCGGGAGCGCCCGTGTACAGCCCGTCGGCGGTGGTGGTGATCTTGAGCGCCTTGCCGCCCGTGACCGGGTCCTTGACGAATTGCTCGGCGTAGGTGCCGGTGCCCGCCTGCAGGGTCACGGGCGAGCAGACGGTGCTGCCGACGGACCAGAGAGTAACCGGGAAGGCGCACTTGTTGTTGACGATGGCTGAGCCGACGGTGTTGGGGATCATGGTGGCCAGGGCGGGGGAGACGGCCGCGGTGGCGAGGGTGAGGAGGGTGGTGAGTTGCATTTTTGTGGTTGGTTGGGGTTGGTTTGAGTGTTTTGGTTTGGGTGTTGTTGGTGAGGATGAGAGAGTGGTTTTTAGCTGAGTTGAAAGTCTTTGATGTGGGACTTGTTGTGTTGTTGCTGATGAGAAGAAGAGACTGGATGAAAGCCGAGGAGGTTGAGCCTTATATAGGTACACAGAAGACCCCCAGCCGCGAACCGATATCATCGAGTGGGATGAGAACAACATTCCCCCCGCGTCAGATCGAACGCGGGAAGATGGTTACATCCCATCCAGACTTGCCTCGAAATAGCGTCCGTCTCGTGAGATCAGGAATGTCAGATGGTGGAGGCGGAGTACTAGATGTGCACGGTACGGCGAGATACCAAGTCTCAACACGAGATAGGGACCGCAATTCACCGACGTGTTACACTGCTGACAAGTGGAAGCCAGGCTGTAGCATTGCCAACTCTCGTGGTCGTCACAGCATACCTACCTCTATGATATGATTTCGCCAAGTGACTCGGGCCAAGCCATGGAGCCGCAGTCATACCGTTCCCGTCGCTTCCGCAGCCAGCGATCTCTGCGCCTCCATCTGCTGACATCCACTAATATCCACGAACCATCGTATTCGAAAGGCTCGAAAATGCGGGGAACATAATGCTGCCATGGTTGCTGTTGATGGCTGCCTGTAGGGCATGTAGGTAGGGAGGAGGGGTTCCGTGATGGTGGGTGGTGTTGAAGTGCTGGATCGTATCGCGGGGTTGCATTGCAGGGCCTTGCTTATGAGGGCTTCAACGGTCGGTGTGCATAATCGGAATATATCGACTTCTCGTAATCGGGGTTGCATTGCAGGCCGCGGGCCTTGCTTGTGAGGGCTTCAACGGTCGGTGTGCATAATCGGAATATACCTTATCGACTTGTAATCGGGGTTTCCCCCATTCCTATGATAGTTGCCCATTTTGGTGAGGTACCTAAGTGAGCGTTGACGAAAAAGGTAGTACCTATGTTTGGTGGTCCTGCGCCTCTCTGCACTGCATGTTTGATTTCTGTTGTGGTCAGAGTGGATTTGGATGCAATATGTTTGTTGTTGGTCAGTCAGACTTTGCGATGTTGGTCAATTTCAGTTGGTCAGCTTCCCGTCCGTCCCTTGGTCACTTGGCGCCGCTGGGAGTTGGCGACGAGGATGGAAATGGGGAAATGCAGGGTAAGTGACGATTTTTGAGAAAATTGAACCGAACCGCCCCTTCGCAGTCGAGAGAGGTGGCCAGGGCCGTTACGGGAATGTTGGCGCCAAGAGCCAAGACATTAATGCCCAGGCTTGGCGGGCCGCCTTCGCCCACGACTTCAAGAGTTCAAGTCCTCCTGCCTTAGGTTGTTGTCCAGCGGCTGGCTACGTCCGATTTGACAGGTTGCTTACTGCCATATAAACTTCCTTACTGTTACTGCTGGCATACTGGGCTTCCGAACATAACATTAGCCTCTTAGCCTCTGCTTGCCCTACGGAAATAGGCCGATAGCTTCAAGGCGTTGAGTTTAGGCACCTACTTCTATATCGTCCGCCGACTGGAGTCCGGGGACCGCCCGGCGAGGCGAATGGTGAGGATCTCGGGGCCGAAGATCTTGGGAGATGAGGATTGAATGGGGTTACAAGCGCAGACAGATCTCAAGCTGGCCATGTGCATGCATGCGCCATGCATACCCGGGTGCATGCATGGCTGCCCTCTCCGACCGGAACGATGGAATGCCAACAACTTGGTGGATACTTTATAATTTTCCTCTCGCTGAAGTCCGTATGGGATGCTTGTTGAGCGTTGACGAGGTAGACCGCCGGGTGCTTGCTAAGAGATGGCGTGGATACGGCTCCCGGCACAAGACACCAAGGCCAGTCAGTACTGGTGTCCCTCTGGCACAAGCATCACGCAACAGAAAGACACAGAAGAAGGACACTTTTTAACCAGAACTTCAAATAGCATTACGGAACAATAAGACAACGCAAATGTATACAAAAGTGTACGACAACTGTCGTTGTTTGATATGAAAAAAGGTATCCTAGAATGACTCAGTGGCTCCAGCAGTCGTGACTGCCACGCCGAGACAAACAAACAACCCTCCTTTTGTTAAACAAACTTAAGAAAGAGATCTAAAGGTATCGATAATCCTTCCAATTCCCGAACAAGAAAGGAAAACGAAAAACGGTGCGCCGTAGAAAGAGACAAACCAAACTCATTAAACTTGCCAGCATATGCAAACGGCTTTCTTGTGCTCAGGACGGTGTACCGTAAGACATCAATTTATTACACACGAAAACCTAACCAACACTAAAGACTTCCACCCATATACATGCCTTCCTTATCTCTTGGGTATACAACCACCAGCGGACTCCCCTTCGCTTGCTGACTTGCTTAGAGCATGACCATACCGGCACCGACACCCATGGCGACGACAACGTACAGACCAACAGCCATATCAGCAACGGTGAAGAAGCTCTTCATGGCAACAGGGGAAGCGAACGAGGAGCTAGAGGTGGCGGCAGCAGCACTACCATCGGTACCACCGTTGCCGGAGCCAGCAGTGGCGGTAGCAGCGACCGCGTTAGCAGCGTCAGCGCTCTGGAGAGCGGCGGAGCAGGTGGGATCGGCCTTAGCGGCGCCGTTGGTGGAGGCCTGGCCATCGAAGTCACAGGCGTGGGAAGCGTACTTCTGGTTCTTGTAGTACTGGTCCATGACGTAGCCGAGCTGCTGGAGGGAGTTGCACATGGCGTAGGAGCCGTAGACACCAGTGGAGGTGTCGCCGAGGATGCCGGCACAAGCAGCGGGGTCGTTGCCGCAGACGACGCCAAAGAGGTCACCGTAGGCGGTGGGCTTGAGGCTCTTGTTGGGAACGCAGGTGAGGGAGTTGTACATGCACTCGCAGAGCTTCTCATCAGGAGTAGGGGGAAGAGCGTCGCCAGTTACCTTCCAGTTGGAGGTGACATCGGGGCACTCGGCGGCCTTGTTGGTGGGCTTGTACGCATCAATATCAACGGTCTTGGGATCGGCGCCGAGGACGGCCTTCTTGAGTCTGTCGTAGTTCTTGAGGGTCTTGGCGGAGCTGCCGGAGACGTTGACGAGACCATAGTCGTTCTCCTCCTGGAAGTACATGTAAACGATGCCACCAGAGAAGACGTCGGTCATGGCGTCAGAGTAAAGAGCGGTGGTCTCCTCGAAGAGACGGCCCTCGGCACCGTCGGGAATGTTGCAACCGTACTCGGCGAAGAAGACAGGGATGGAGTAGTTCTTGAAGAAGTCGATCTGCTCCTGGTATCCGGAGCCCTTGATGGTGTTGTGGCCGCACCACTCGTAGATGTTGTAACCCCAGTAGTCAATGGCCTCGTCCTGGTTACCGCAGTTGAAGTAGTGGGCGATCTCGGCACGAATCTTGGCGTCATCGTTGGCGGCATAGCCAACACCCATCCAGCGCTTGACGTTCTTCTTGATGTAGTTCTTGGAGTCACGGACAGCAGCCTTGACGTAAGCAGAAGCGTCGGTGTTGGTGGCATTGTTGGATACCTCGTTACCGGCGAAGAAACCGATGACGTTGGTGTACTTGCTCATCTCATCAATGACATCGGTATAGCGCTTGTAGAGAGTGATATCCCACCGGGGGTCGTCGCGGTTGATGGACTTGGAGGGCTCGGACAAATCGCTGATAACGTAGATGCCGGCGTCGTCGAGGAGCTTCATGCAGGCGCTGTGGTCGGCGGTAGGATCGATGGCGTAGGTACGGATGGCGTTGGTGCCAGCGGCCTTCATGATGGGAACATCACGCTTGCAGGCCTCCTCGTCGGCGAGGGGATCGCGGAAGGTACCGGTGGTTGTCTCGCCGCCAGCGCCAGCAGTATCTTGCTGGTAGGCAATACCCTTGATGTAGAACTGGGTGCC